TAAATTTTGCTAATGTCTTATGTCTACAGCTGCCTTTTTACTGATAACAAAGTTTTGATTAAAGTTGTATTGGCGTCGCTAATAAATTGGCATTTTACAGATGTTATAAACATGTCACAACAATCAGTGACTGGATAGCAAGGACAATAGTGGGATTTTCAAAACAATAAAAGGACAATGGAAGATTCTGATCACTGGGTCATGACTGGATGACATGGAGAACAGTGAGATTTTCAAAACAATGAAAAGACAATGGAACATTCTGATCACTGGATCATGACTGGATGACATGGAGAACAGTGAGATTTTCAAAACAATGAAAAGACAATGGAACATTTTGATCACTGGATCATGACTGGATGGCATGGAGAACAGTGGGATTTTCAAAACAATGAAAAGACAATGGAACATTTTGATCACTGGATCATGACTGGATGGCATGGAGAACAGTGGGATTTTCAAAACAATGAAAAGACAACATTTTGATCACTGGATCATGACTGGATGGTATGGAGAGCAGTGGGATTTTCAAACAATGAAAAGACAATGAAACATTTTGATCACTGGATCATGACTGGATGGTATGGAGAACAGTGGGATTTTGAAAACAATGAAAAGACAATGGAACATTCTGATCACTGGATCATGACTGGATGGCATGGAGAACAGTGGGATTTTCAAAACAATGAAAAGACAATGGAACATTCCGATCACTGGATCATGACTGGATGGCATGGAGAACAGTGAGATTTTCAAAACAATGAAAAGACAATGGAACATTCTGATCACTGGATCATGACTGGATGGCATGAAGGACAGTGAGATTTTCAAAACAATGAAAAGACAATGGAACATTTTGATCACTGGATCATGACTGGATGACATGGAGAACAGTGAGATTTTCAAAACAATGAAAAGACAATGGAACATTCTGATCACTGGATCATGACTGGATGACATGAAGGACAGTGAGATTTTCAAAACAATGAAAAGACAATGGAACATTCTGATCACTGGGTCATGACTGGATGACATGGAGAACAGTGAGATTTTCAAAACAATGAAAAGACAATGGAACATTCTGATCACTGGATCATGACTGGATGGCATGGAGAACAGTGAGATTTTCAAAACAATGAAAAGACAATGGAACATTCTGATCACTGGATCATGACTGGATGGCATGGAGAACAGTGGGATTTTCAAAACAATGAAAAGACATTGGAACATTCTGATCACTGGATCATGACTGGATGACATGGAGAACAGTGAGATTTTCAAAACAATGAAAAGACATTGGAACATTCTGATCACTGGATCATGACTGGATGGCATGGAGAACAGTGGGATTTTCAAAACAATGAAAAGACAATGGAACATTTTGATCACTGGATCATGACTGGATGGCATGGAGAACAGTGGAATTTTCAAAACAATGAAAAGACAATGGAACATTCTGATCACTGGATCATGACTGGATGGCATGAAGGACAGTGAGATTTTCAAAACAATGAAAAGACAATGGAACATTTTGATCACTGGATCATGACTGGATGGCATGGAGAACAGTGAGATTTTCAAAACAATGAAAAGACAATGGAACATTCTGATCACTGGATCATGACTGGATGGCATGGAGAACAGTGAGATTTTCAAAACAATGAAAAGACAATGGAACATTCTGATCACTGGATGGCATGAAGGACAGTGAGATTTTCAAAACAATGAAAAGACAATGGAACATTTTGATCACTGGATCATGACTGGATGGCATGGAGAACAGTGGAATTTTCAAAACAATGAAAAGACAATGGAACATTCTGATCACTGGATCATGACTGGATGACATGAAGGACAGTGAGATTTTCAAAACAATGAAAAGACAATGGAACATTTTGATCACTGGATCATGACTGGATGGCATGGAGAACAGTGGGATTTTCAAAACAATGAAAAGACAATGGAACATTTTGATCACTGGATCGTAACTGGATGGCATGAAGAACAGTGGGATTTTCAAAACAATGAAAAGACAATGGAACATTCTATTAAAAGAAGAAAGGTGTTTTAGAATCACCAAAATAAACGACTTTGTCTCAGATGAAACAGTTACAGAAAATCAATTCAAAAATCGACTTAATTTATGGCCGTTTATTACGGTGGTATAATATAATGATACGGTGTTAGTTTTCATTATGTCGTGCTCATGAATAATGAATAGTTTGATAAATAATTATGTGCAATCCTATACACTGTTAATAAATGTTTTAACATATACTGTAGATACAATTCTAAAATTCTACGTAACTTCCAGTAATTCCAAGCGCCTGTCTCAACCACTCGATTTCAGTTCTCATAATTCCGGTACCAAGTTTAAGCTTGCTTAACTCTTCGTTTTTACGTTTTAAATTCCCAGAATATTCATCAACATAATTCCGATAATCGTCGCAAAGCTTATCCAATTTCTCGTATTCGCTTTGAAATTCTCGTAACTCCGATTTAGTCTCTTCCAGTTCTCTGCAAATTTTATTTTCTTCGTCTTTGCGTTGGTTGGAGATTACCTCCATTAATTTCGTTTTAAAATTTTCAAGATTCTCGCTACAATGCTCGCAAGTTGTAGAGGGAACTGTTCCATCACCAGAGTTCTCCACAAATTGGAATGTAGAATTTTTCGGTTCCGTGCTAATTGACCAGGATTTTGAGATCTTACTTTGAGGTTTAACAATATTTTTTATAATAATTTCATCTTTTAATACAGGTTGGAGATTCTCTTTAAATTCAAACCCATCTATTAGGATTCCTTCGTCCTTTGGAATGGAAAAATTCAAGTTACAGCAGCCAGGTTCGTCATCAGATTTACCAATTTGATCAGTGTATTCGCCATTTTGATCACTGGATTCACCATCAAATTCCCCATTCGGTATTTCAGATATTTCATTGAAGTAATTCTCTTCGACATTGCTACTCTCTTGTTCTTGTGTTTCAAGAAAATTGTCATTAAAATCTTTTCCTACGATTATTTTTGGTATCGGAAAAGGAACATTAGCGGGAACTATCGACTGATTGTCATCGTGATTAAATTCTCCAGCTTTACCACCAGTTTGATCACCACATTCACCATTTTGTTCACCAGATTCACCATCAAATCCATCACCCTTCCTTCCATCGACAACATCCTTAGGCAGTGGGCTATCAACAAGGGATCGATAAAGATTCACCACATTTACCCTATCTTGATCCTCTTCATGTTCCTTGCTATCCTCATCTATCAACCATTGCTCGTCATCCACATCCTCACAAATCATTTCTAATTCGCGATCTTCGTCATTTGCTCTCACCGGACCATTTCTTATATTTTCTTTTTCTCCTGATTCATCATTTTCACGGTTCAACTCTTTATGTAAACCAGTAAATTCAGGGTCAGTCTGTATAGAATATTGCGTCGATAGTCTTGGACTGACATGAATATTTTTCCAACATTCATCAGAGTTTTCTGTAGTATCCCTAGCTCCATTGCTTGTAGAATTCTTGTCTGTACTATCTGTAGAATTGTTCTCGTCTCGAGCATGCAATATCGCATCTTTAAATTCAACACTAGTAAGGCCATTTGACATCTCATCTCCAAACTGAGCATTACTTTGACCACCCTCAAAGTCAGCATTACTTTGGCCATTTGACACCTCGTCTTCATATTCAGCGTTACTTTGGCAAGTATCATCTCCAAGTTTAGAATCACTCTGGCCATCTACAACATCATTTTCAGCAGAATTCCTTCCATCACTCTCCTCCAAGCTATCCTCACCCAAAGTTTCTAAAGAACCAAACTCTTGCCGACTAAGCCGCTGTAGATGCTCCAACTGATCATCTGCTAGCTCTAAACTGTCCTTCAACGAACGCCTCTTTCGGTACTTGGAGTCATCTACGCTTAGCTTATCAACAAATCTCTCAACCTCGTCCTGTTTAACTACTAAAGCTGAGTCGACCAGATCAAAGCTTCCCATCAAAACACGTTGCCATTTCGCTTGCTTGCAATTACGACAGAGTTCCTTCTGTAGTTCCATACTATTCAAGGAATGTCCGCCCCAGCTTCTACTCAGGGTATCAGGGGTACTAGGCTCGTGAACCTTCATTCTATACTCTTTCAACTCCTCTTGAAGTTCATCCATAGTGCGTTTATTCTTAATAATAATCTGGTGAAGTTTTTCAAGAACATCAGTAATAGAATGACATTCATCATTATAGTCTTCATCAGATACACGCAAGATATCAGAGACCCATGATTTGATTTCAGTACAGTGCTCCTCAATTTCTCGTCTCAAATCCTCGTTGCCTTTTTCAAGCTCTTCGTTCTTCGATTCCAATTCGGCAAGCTGGCCCCTAGTAGCAACAATAATAATGATTTCTAGATGAATGCAAGGAAATCAACAAGAAAGCTTCGGATTAATAGGGATACAACTGAAAAATGCAGATTCGATTCCTGCCAGAAGGCTTATAGTTGCGTCAGACGTAGGTTTCGTAGGTTTCGCCTCTGAGATCGTGGGTTTGATTCTCGCTACGGACTCATGTGTAAAGAGTCAGTCAACGCTCTGCCGAAAGGTGTGGGTTTTCTCTGGGTGCTCAGGTTTCCTCCCACAGGGAAAGTTGACAGGGTGGGTTAGGATAAACACAGTTAGGAAAGTAATATCACAATTGTTGTAAAGATAATTAGTCTACACGGCAAAAAAACGCCGAGCCCGCTGCTCAACAGGATTGAACAATGTTTTGCTGCCCACGTTGTTCACACTTGTCAACAATGTTGAACAATATTGTTGAGCCTGAATCGGGTGTAACAATATTGTTCAATATTGTTGACAACTGTGAACAATGTGGGCAGCAAAACATTGTTCAATCCTGTTTTCATCAGTATTGCATCAACCTGAGCGTTTTTACGCGTGTAGGCTAAGTAGGTAATATAAGTAAGCGTAATAATCGATGTAATGGGTCACTGAAAAGTCCCATTGGGGAGTGAGCTGGATAATATATGTATGTATGTATTCGAATATATCATAGACACAAAACCCATCTTAGTGAAACCCAGCCAAACTGGTCTCAGCACATACCTCGTGTCTTCCTCTACAGTCAAAAATGATTGGCTCTGGCGTCTTAGCTGAGCGCTCAGATCTTTTTGAAAACTTTCTTTCAAGAAACAAACATCGTCTTCGCCCTGTTCCTTCGCGAATTCAACTTCAGATTCAAGAAATCTATTCCTTTGCCGCAGTTTGTCCATCTCGCTCTGGAGTTCGGCTAAGGATTCGCTGCTTTTTGCCTAAAGATACAGATTATTCTTTGTTATTTTGCTATTAAGATCAGAATTATAATATTAAAGAAAATATTCAAAGGCCCATAAAGGAAGGATGCGAACGAGCCTGACAGAAATGATCACTGGAAAAAATAATGAAATCCATACCACAGATTAAGGATGACTTAAGTTCTTAATCTGTGTCCATTCTATGAATTTGTGATTGCACCACTAAATCCATAGTGTATCCATACTATTTCCATGACTATATACATAGTATGGAAATTATAATTTCTATGAAAATTGGATCTCCATACTATTTCCAACTAAGTTCCATACTATTTGTATAGGTAATCATGCGATGGCGAGTACAATTAGGGATTAATAGTACGAGTGATGTTTGGAAATTTTGCCAAAATTGGACGAGCCGCCATTACTTGTTTATTATTAGCATGACAAAATTGGATACTTCTCAATGTCAACATCATATATTCTCTCGCCAAAGCCCAGTCCCGCCAGATTTTCAACCAAACTTTGGTGCTTTTGTCCGTATTTTCATTTAGTTCTTTTGTTAAAGCAAAATTTGGTGCTTTCGTTCGTATTTTCATCTAGTCCCCCAAAGGCAATTTCATTTCACGCTTGTGTTTAAAATACTTTTCTGCCATTTTGTTTGTTGTGGGAATATCATTAATTGTACTGCAGTACAATTAATGAAATAATTGTACTCCTCTCAACCAATCAGCATCCAGTAATTTTGTCATGCTAATAATAACCACAGTAAGGATTTTGAAACAAATTTCCAGTACATGAGGACAACGCACCTCTACTCTTTCTTGTTCTTCTAAAATACTTTGGAAATTTTGGGCATCTTGTTTATGTTTCCTTATCCAATGTTGTACCTCGGCGTCTTTCTCCTTACAGAGGAACTGGTACTTGGACCATTGATCTTCGAGTAGTTTCACCACTGCCTTTTTAGTTATGTACCCTTCTACCAATCCTTCGTTGCCAATTTCATCCACTTCTTCCAGTAGTCTTTCAAAGTCCTCTTCCAAAGTCTAAGAAAAATTTTGTTTTTTATCATTTAAACCTGGACTTGGGTCCAATGTAGGTACGCTTAAGGTTGATTTAGACACAACAACTTTTGCCTAAAACTGTCGCTTGCAACCTGCTTACAACTTGAGTTGTACTGTGTGAATCAACATACAACTCACATACGTTGTCGCAGGCGAGTTGTGTGACACAGTACAACTCAAGTTGTAAGCAGGTTGCATGCGACAGTTTTAGGCAAACGTTGTGTAGTCCAAATCGACCTTGATGAATGAGTATCATGATTTGTAGATGGAAAATAAATTTGTGGTTAGAGCTTGACAACTGGCCTCTGTAGCTCAGTTGGTTAGAGCTCGACAACTGTCTCTCTGTAGCTCAGTTGGTTAGAGCTCGACAACTGTCTCTCTGTAGCTTAGTTGGTTAGAGCTCAACAACTGTCTCTCTGTAGCTCAGTTGGTTAGAGCTCGACAACTGTCTCTCTGTAGCTCAGTTGGTTAGAGCTCGACAACTGTCTCTCTGTAGCTCAGTTGGTTAGAGCTTGACAACTGTCTCTCTGTAGCTCAGTTGGTTAGAGCTTGACAGCTGTCTCTCTGTAGTTCAGTTGGTTAGAGCTCGACAGCTGTCTCTCTGTAGCTCAGTTGGTTAGAGCTCGACAACTGTCTCTCTGTAGCTCAGTTGGTTAGAGCTCGACAACTGTCTCTCTGTAGCTCAGTTGGTTAGAGCTCGACAACTGTCTCTCTGTAGCTCAGTTGGTTAGAGCACTGCACCGGAGTCGCAGGGCCGCAGGTTTAATTCCTGCCAGAGGACCTATAGTTGAATTTTTCGCGACTGCTCCTGGCCAGGTCGAATAAATGTACAAAATTTACATTCGTATTTTCTTTCTACAAAATCCTTTCAACATTCTTATGATGAATGACCCTGGTTTGAAATGTTTTCAATCTTTTTTCAAACCACAAACCACAACAGCTTAATAAAAGTTATTTTCTCATGAATAATATTAATAAATTATTCACGCTTTTTTTTACAATAATACACTTAAGAAATTAGTTGCTGTCCATTTGCAACAGGTCCTATAACATTTTCTGTAACAGGTCTTGACATTTTAGTGCAAATAACAGCGCACGAAATATCTTAATGGGAATATCACCTGTAAATGGTAATTTAAACAAGACTTGTATACTGACATAAAAAAGATATTACTTTTGAACTGTCGTTAAGTTTACATAACAATACGGTATAATTAAAAGTTATGAGTGACAGTGTATATAATATAGTTCCAATTTTTTGAACCTTGTATGAAGCAATGTATCTCGTGAATAAAAATATATTAGAATATACAATTCTTTCACAAAATTGGTTTTGGTGCATAGGCCTTACTTCATCTTCCTCAAAACGAACTGTTATCTACACAAATATTATTTACTTGCCACTCACCTCGTAAAATTCGTCATTTCCTGCAGCAATGGGAGTACAACTTCTAAAATCTTCTGAAGAAAATTGACTAACAAGCTCGCTGTTCAAAGCTGATCCATTGACTGCATTGTCAGTAAACATATATTCATTTCTTTCTCCATCAGATGAGGAAAGGATGGAGTACCCTGTGCCTTCGTCCACAGAAGATGAGAAACTTTTACCCAATTTCCTGTCTCTGTACTTTCTTTTAAATTCCTCCGAATGCGCTTCTGTTCCACTAATTTTCAAACAACTGATATACCTATATGTGAATCATCAGAAAACTATGTTAACATACCAAACTAAACTAACTTCATATACTGGATAGCTCAATCAGTTATAAATTGCTTTTTTTAAAGTTCCAGTAAGGATCATCTCTTATTGATCCAGTCTTACTACTACAGGAGGAAACTTAAAGTAAACTAACTTTATTTATACTGGATAGCTCTATCAGTTCTAAACTGTTCTCCCTAGAGGTCCAGTAAGGATCATCTTATTGATCCAGTGTTACCACAGGGAGAAACCTAAACTAAACTAACTTTATTTATACTGGATAACTCTAATGTTTAACAATGAGTGATAAAATGCTTAAACCACGATTATTACCGCACCTTGCATAATCTTTTTCTTTTATAGTAGCAATGGAAGTCTCAAGTTTCACGCTGATACTCTGACAAACCAGGCTGGCTTCTTCATCAGAAAACTTTTCCAAAAGACAAGCTACAAGTTGATTAACATCTCCGAGTTGCTGAACCTGGCTCGCCTCAAAATTTTGAACATCATCGAGAACCCCCCTTAATGCTCCAGTCTGCCTTGCGAGTTCTTCTTGAAGGGCATCTTTCGTTAGCTGGAGATCCTTGATAAGCATTTCGCGTTTGTTAATCTCCTCAGAGTATACTTCATCTTTTTCCTTCGAGTCAGCCTCGACAGCATCGCGATAGGTCGAAAACCTATCCAAAATTTCGCGAACTTCAGCTTCCTTTGCCGACCAAATGGTCTGCATTTCTTCATTCAAGGATATAAGATCATTAATCTCGTTCTCTTGTTTCTGTTTAGACATTTCAATTTCGTTTTTAGCGTCCTCGACCTGAGTTGCCAGGTTTTCAACTAAAAACTCTGTTCCTTGAATGTGAGATTCTAGCCGCGCTACGTCACTATCTGTAAACGCCGTTAAATCAAGTACAGGAATACTACGGATCGACTGGTTATCTTCGGAATCAATAACTTCCAAACGGTTTACTTCTTGTAAGAATCTGCTTAAAAACGAGTTATCCAAATGTTGGACATTTAAATTTGATAATGCATTCTGTATGTTTTCTTGGTCTGCAGCCGTGGTTAAGGAGTCGATGCCTTCCTTCGCTTCAAACGTTTCTTCCTTAAACGTTAAATTGTCCAAAGAATTAAGAAACGAATTATGTAAATATTTTTCCGTCTCATCTACATTTGACAATTCTTTCGTTGAAGCTTCAGACGCTTTTAACAAGCCGAATAGTAAAGTTTCACTGCGATCCTTTATGTCTTGATCATCTAGTTCGTTAAACGATGAACCTACTTCACAAAGAGCCGGGTTTTGATTTTGTTCAGAGCACAAAGAACTTTCAAAGTGCTTTCCAGTTCGGGCCAACGATTCTTCTGTGTGTTCAGATGCTGTTAACAAGCCAAATAATATATTTTCATTGTCATGTTTAGTTTGATAATGGACACTTTGTTTTATACATGAAGCAATTGTCTCACATCGCTTTTCATTTAGTTCAGCGTGCGACGAACGAACATTTTCAGGAAACGAAATTTCATCAAAATCCGCAGCAATATCCAATGTCAATTGATTTGAAAATGAATCATCAACGTCAAAACAGCGATGAGCAGGCGACAGATTGTTTAGAGCCGTATGCTGATTGCAAACGTCAAATGGCGAATGAGTTAGCTTATGCGCGTTCGCTAATTTGCGGCAAGATAAATTGTGTGTAATGCCACCTGTCAGAACAGAATGCAAATGCAAAGTCGAAGAGCTCGCTTTCTTCGCAAAACTTTCATCATAGGCATCTAATCCTAACTCGTCGGATAAAGCTTTAGGGAAACTTTGACGTCTTGAACGAGTAAAATTATGTTCTTTTTGAAGATTTACACCTAAATTTGTTGATTTTGACTTTCGTAGTGTTCCAAAATTCGTGATATCGTTTCGAAATGCAAAGCGAACACCTGCTGGACACGATTTGCCCCGAATTCGCGTTGAAAGCTTGTGATTATTGTAACAAGGCATTTAAAGATAACTGTTTTTGCAAGGAGACTGTATTTCACCAGTGCACAAGACGACAAAACGCAGTCGTCTCGACAGGAGTCACGGATTATAGCTATGATATTTTTGAACTAATATAAGTCAGTCTGTTTATATATATCTATAGGCCTTCAGACACAGCGATGTGATAAAAATCTGAAATTCTATAGGACCATACCGAACTATGATAACGTACGCCGATGAGTTTAAGTGTTTTTTAAACAAATGCTATATCATCTCTACATCTTCAGTGTTCAGATGGAACAACACAAACGCCAAAAACAAGGTCCTCACAGGAAATATTTTAAATAGTGTTGTAGTCACTGGCGACACAGCAGGGCGTTGAATTAATCGTCAGCTGCCGTCGTAAAAAATCAATTCTAGACGTCCATATATAACCGTAGCCTTCTTCCAACGAATTTGAATTTGTCTGTTATGACATATTCATGTACCTTCACATTGATGAATATAGCAATGTCCATTAATTCGAGGTGTAGAATTTGCTGCACAATAGATATATACCAAATTCAAAATCACGGAAAATCGCCGCGAGATATTATCATCATTTACATCTCAGAAACGGCGCCATTAGAAGACTGAAGCCTTGTCTGGTAATTTAAAAATTAGATTTCATCTGTCAATTTCGTACGATGGCCCAAGAAACGTAAATCTGTTCAAAGATATACAAACGCGCTTACTGCTATTTTCATATGCAGAAGTAATTTAATATGTACATAAATATTGTACTGTACATATTCGTACTATTAAAAATACAAGCGTTTATTCTTAACAGATATTAAACCAAATGCAAAGCACAAAAACATTCAGTGCTTATACAACGTTAAACGTTACGCTCAAAGTGCAAAGACAAAATACAGTTGTTTTCAGGGTCAATGTTTTCATGAAACAATGGAACAATGAAACAGAATAATGGAACAATGAAACGGCAGAACAATGGAACAATGGAACAATAAACAACAGAACAATTGAACAATTAAACAATAGAATAATGGAACAATGAAACAACAGAACAATGGAACAATAGAGTAATGGAACAATGAAACAACAGAACAATTGAACAATGAAACAATGGAACAATGGAACAGAACAATTGAACAATGAAACAATGGAACAACAGAACAATTGAACAATGAAACAACAGAACAATAGAACAATGGAAACAACAGAACAATGAAACAACAGAACAATGAAACAATTAAACAATAGAATAATGGCACAGTACAATAAACAATAGAACAATGGTATGGGGGTGGTAAAGTGGTAAGGGGTTGGAGGGTGTAGGATTGCCCCACAGACTCTAACAGGACATCTCACCAGATGGACCACAAAATAACCATTCTGGGACCTTACTGCCATAAATGTGGTCATTCTACAACGAAGATACAGTGTATTACCTCCTATTTAATTGCTTAAAATCTTACCAATTCATATTTTCTGTTTAACAATGAAATATGATTACAAACACAACCATAACTTAACGATAGTCATTTTAGTCTTCTTTGTGGTCATTTTAAAGTCTTCAAAGAGGTTGAGTATAATAAAAAAGTTGTTTACTCCATTTTGTTTATAACTTTGATCTCATTATCATCAATTTCATAATGTGGTGTTAATTCTGACAAGTTGCAAAAATTTTTGCTATGTTGAATAGGCTGAATTTGAAACAAGGAATTGCCATGTTTTTGTATTTTAATAAAGTCTGTGATCCAGTGTTGATACAAACCTAGTTTTTCGGCACTCATTGACTCGCCCAAAATGGTTTCGGCTACCAAAACCGCACATTCGCTTTTTTGACCAGATTGCCTAATGTGCCAAAAAATCAATTTTAATACACGCTTTGGCCTATAGAGCCTCGTTTTCGTGTATCTGACATCAGTTAAAGTCCATGTCTCAATCACGAAAACGAGGCTCTATAGCCAAAGTGACAAACTTTCTGGAAGCATGTATTTTAAGCATGTTAACCCATTAAGAGGCAATGCGCTCAGATGCGCCCTACTTTATTATTTTACTCTGTCTAACACCAGACCATTTTACTTGTCAAGGGGAAGAATGCTTCCCTTGACGAGTAAAGTCATCTGGCATTACACAGAGTAAAATAATCAAGTAGCATGCATCAGAGTGTTTTTTTTGCAATGCCCGCCCATGGGTAATTTAATACCTTTTCGACCAGAATTCAGCAGCATCAATGATATAAGCCATGCACTTTGCCAAACGATTAGTGTCCTCAGTCCGTGAGCCTTTCTCTCGAAAATAAGAATGAAAATCGTCTATCAAGACATGTCTTGTTCTCCCTGTAGGCGAATTCCGCACTTTATCCAGGTGCACATTTGCAAAATAATCTGTCAACTCGTCACAATTTGCCAAATACACCATATTTATACGTTTCAAAACCACTGCATCCGGCTGCTTCCTTTCATTTACAAACAATGGCAGCTTCATTAATGGTTTAGGTGCAATGAAGAGCACATAGTCCCCCTTTTCAGCACAGTTAAAAGCGTATTCGAACAACAAACTTGTCTTGCCACACGAGCTTGGGCCAAACAGCATGTGACCAGCGACTCTTGAACCGTTCTCGAGCGATACATTCCGATCAAATTCGCCTCCAACTTCAACCCTGAGCATTTGAAATAATGTATTTCCCATGTTTTAATACAAAAGAGCATTTACTTGCCATCAATACAGTAATATTTGAAACAACAAAACGAAATATTAAAATACAACGACGCAAAAATCAATCCCGCATTGCATGCCCGTTCGCAGGTTACACAAAACCCTTGGGCCTTCCAGGGGTCCTTGGTTGGTCCTTGGCTATACCAGGGTCTGATTGGGGTGACTGCAACAGCAGACTACCAACATTTGCCCGATTTTTTGACTGACAACCGTTAAATATCCTAACTGAAAACTGAGAAATGATGAAAAAATGATGAGTCAGCATTTTGTACTAACTGACTACTGACTACTGACAATATATCGCACTGACAACTGACTTAAATTTTAGCTAACAACCGACACCCAAAGACCCACATTACAGTAAGACACTCCTATACGCCACGCCGAAAAAAGCTTACCCCATTTTGCTATCACATGAGCACGCTCTTATGAGCAAAAATCAATCCCGCCGTGGCTAAAAAGTATATTGAAATCAGGTATACTTTTTAGCCACAGACCGCCGTGGCTAAAAAGTATATTGAAATCAGGTATACCTTTTAGCCACAGACCACCGTGGCCAAAAAGTATACTGAAATCAGGTATACTTTTTAGCCACCGACCGCCGTGGCTAAAAGTATAGTGTAATCTGATATACTTTTTAGCCACAGACCGCCGTGGCTAAAAAGTATATTGAAATCAGGTATACTTTTTAGCCACAGACCGCCGTGGCTAAAAAGTATACTGAAATCAGGTATACTTTTTAGCCACAGACCGCCGTGGCTAAAAATTATAGTGTAATCTGGTAAAATTTTTAGCCACAGACCGCCGTGGCTAAAAAGTATACTGAAATCAGGTATACTTTTTAGCCACAGACCGCCGTGGCTAGAAGTATAGTGAAATCTGATATAATTTTTAGCCACAGACCGCCGTGGCTAAAAAGTATACTGAAATCAGGTATACTTTTTAGCCACAAACCGCCGTGGCTAAAAAGTATACTGAAATCAGGTATACTTTTTAGCCACAGACCGCCGTGGCTAAAAATTATAGTGTAATCTGGTATAATTTTTAGCCACAGACCGCCGTGGCTAATATACTGAAATCAGGTATACTTTTTAGCCACAGACCGCCGTGGCTAGAAGTATAGTGTAATCTGATATAATTTTTAGCCACAGACCGCCGTGGCTAAAAAGTATAGTGAAATATGATATATTTTTTAGCCACAGACCGCCGTGGCTAAAAAGTATACTGAAATCAGGTATACTTTTTAGCCACAGACCGCCGTGGCTAAAAATTATAGTGTAATCTGGTATAATTTTTAGCCACAGACCGCCGTGGCTAAAAAGTATACTGAAATCTGGTATAATTTTTAGCCACAGACCGCCGTGGCTAAAAAGTATACTGAAATCAGGTATACTTTTTAGCCACAGACCGCCGTGGCTAGAAGTATAGTGTAATCTGATATAATTTCACGCTTGGCATAAAATGTTTCAAATTCGGCCACAAGAAATGTTCGAAATTTTGCGGATGGCGCGCGTATTTTTTTGGAGTCTGGAGACGAAATTAATTTTGGAAATGTGCGCTATTTTTAGACAGCTGCGGTGACATGAAGGGTAT